TATGTTAAACTGGACAAAATGGTCAAAAACAATAATTTCAAGATTCTGGAAATTGATCAAATACAAATAACACATTGAGAAATGTTTATTCATGAAAAACTGTTGAACTTCTGGTGAGAACAATGGGAGTCTGTGGTGTTCTTGCTCAGGGCTGCTCTCCTCCCTCCGAGCTTGGGTTAGGGAGAGCACAACCTCAGACCAATCATTGGCTGATCACTAAGCTATGCAGACACAGGGATGACCCCTCCAAAGATAGGCTAAAAAATTAAAAATAAGAATAAGAAAAATACTGAGCAGAGACATCAGTGGCAGCACGTCACAGAGTGACAGATAACCACAGATGAAGTCCAGGCAAGTTATTCAAAACAAAACAAAAATAGCATCAGTCCTCAGAGGAAAAAAATCAGAATCCAGAGTTGGTGCAAAATATTATCTTAAAATGTCCAGTTTCCAACAAGTTACAAGATGTGCAAAGAAATAAGGAAGTGTGGTCCACACTCAGGAAATAAAGTAGCTAATAGAACCTGTCTTCATTGGGCTCAGATGTTGGATTTAGCAGAAAAATATTTCAAAGCAGCTACTATAAATATGTTTAAAGAATTAAAGCAAGTTTAAAGAATTAAAGGATAATATGATGACAATAGCTCAACAAGTAGGCAATCTGAATAAATAAATAGAAACTCTAAAAAAGGACCACATGTAAGTTCTAGAATCGAAAAGTCCAATAACTGAAGTGAAAAATTTCCTCAGTGGGCTCAACAGCATATGTGAGATGTCTGAAGAAAGAATTGATGACCTTGAAGGTACATCAATAGAAATTATCCAATTTGAGAGCAAAGAGAAAAAGATAGAAGAAAAATGAACAAAGCCTATGATAGCTTTGAGACAACGTCAAATGTACCAAAAATATGTGTAATGAGAGTCCCAGAAGAAAGTCGAGAGACAAAAAGGGACAGAAAAAATATTTGAAGAAAAAATGGCTGAAAACTTCTTAAATTTGATGAAAAACATTAATATTCAGATCCAAGAATCTCGCAAAACAAAATCAGGGTAAACACAAAGAGATCCACACCTAGGCATATCATAGTCAAACTGCTGAAAGCCAAAACAAAGAAAATCTTGAAAGGAGCAAAAGAAAAATAACTCATCGCATACAGGGAAACAAGGTTGTGATTAAGAGCTGTCATCTTCTGAGAAACAACAGAGGCCTCAAGGCAGCGGATGGTATATTCGAGGTACTGAAAAAAAATTCATATAAGAATTCTATATCCACCCAAATATCCTTCAAAAATGAAAGCAAATATCACTATGATTATTTTTTAAAGGATTATTTTTTAAAAGAATAATATAAGAAAGATAAATTTACAAAGAAAAACCTAATGCATCAAAATTTGTGAGATGCCATTAAAGTAGTACTTAAAAGGAAATTTATAGCATCATATGCCAATGTTATAAAAGAAGATCTCAAATCAATAACCTCGGTTTCCACCTTAAGAAACTAGGAAAAGGAGAGCCAACAAAACCCAAAAATGTGCAAAAGGAAAGAAATAATAGATTAGGATAGAAACCAGTAAAACAGAAAACAGAAAATAGATAAAATCAATGAAACCAAAACTGATTCTTTGAGATAAAAAAAATTGATCTAGCCAGTATAAACAGAAAAAAAGAGAAATAACCAATGTCAGAAAGGAGAGAGGTGATATTGCTACCAGTTCCACAGAAAATATTGTATTATAATCATCAAACTTGCTAAGAGTCTAGTCTAGATCTTAATTATTCCAGGCACAAAAAGAAATGACAATTGTGTGATGTGATAGAGGTGCCGACGATCACTTCAATGGCAATCATATTACAATATATAAATGCATAAAATCAACACTTTGTGTACCTTAAATTTACACAATGTTATATGTCAAATATATTTCAATTTAACAAAAGGATAATAAGGGAGGGGCTGGCCCCATGGCTAAGAGATTCAAGTTCCATGCACTCTGCTTCAGTGACCCAGGTTCGCAGATTCAGATCCTGGGTGCAGACATACTCCATTCATCAGCCATGCTGTGGAGGCATCACATAAAAAGTAGAGGAAGATTGGCATAGATGTTATCTCGGGGCTGATCTTCCTCAGGCAAAAGAAAAAGAAAAGAGGAAGATTGGCAATGGATGTTAGCTCAGGGCAAATCTTCCTCACCAAAAAGAAAAAAAAAAAAAAAGAAAGAAAGAAAAAAAGAAGTATAAAGACTAGCAAGAAAAAAAGAATAATAAGGGAAAATCTAATGAACAACTTTATGCCAATAAATTTGACAACTTAGTTGAAACACACATTTTTGAGAGACAAACTATGAAAGCTCACACAAGAACAAATAATCAAACACCTTTATACCTATTAAAAAAACTAATTTGTAGTTGAAAACATGCCCACAAATAAAATACCAGTCTCATGTCTAAGAACACATTGAAGAGAGAACACATTTTAACCCTTTTTATAAGGCCATCATTACCCTAATACCGAAACCAGACAAAGACATCACAAGAAAAGAAAACTATAGATTAACGTGCTTCAGGAACATAGATGCAAAAACTGAACAAAAACTTATCAGGTCAAATCCAAAATAATAAAAAAAGGATAATACATCATGACTAAGTGGGGTTTATCCTAGAATACAAGGTTGGTTTAACTTTCAAAAATCCATGTAGTTCACCATATTAAAAGAATAAAAAATAAAAAGCATATGATCATCCCAACAGACACAGAAAAAAAAATTTGACAAAATCCAATATTCACTCCTGATAAAACCTCTCAGCAAATTAGGAATAGAAAGTTTTTTCCATCTGATAAAATGCATCTGTGAAAAACCTGCAGCTAACATCATATGTAATGGCGAAAGGCTGAATGCTTTCTCTGTAACATCAAGAGGAAGACAAGTATGTCCACTCTCACTATTTCTATTCTAGAGTAGATTGGAGATAGTAGTCAATGCTATAAGGCAAGAAAAAGAAATAAAAGGCATCCAGATTGGAAAGGAAGAAGTAAAATTGTGTTTATTCACAGATGAAATGATTATGTAGAAAATCAAATGGAATCTATAACAAAAGCTACTAGAATTTATAAATGAGTTTAGCTAGGTGTCAGGATACAAAATCAATCATATTTCTAAATATTAGCAATAAACAATTAGAAATTGAAATAAAATCATCATTTACAATAGCATTAAAATATGAAATACTTAGGGGACAAATATGACAAAAGATGCAAAAGACCTATATACTGAAAACTCCAAAACACTGCTGACAGAAATGAAAGACCTAAATAAATGGAGTGGTGTACTGCACTTCAAGGTTGGAAGACTCAATATTGTTAAGATGTTAGTTCTTCCCAAATTAATCTGTGTATTTGACACAACCCCAATCAAAATACCAACAGAAGTTTTAGTAGAAATTGACAACTTGATTCATACGGAAATTCAAAGGACCTAGAATAACCAAAATATCTCTGAGAAAGAAGAACAAAGTTAGAGGGCTAACACTACTTGATTTGAAGACTTATCATAAAGCTATGGTAATAAAGCTAGTGTAGTATTGATGTCAAGACAGATAAATAGATCGATGGAGCAGAAAAGAAAGTCTAGAAATGGACTTACACATATATGGACATTTTTGATAAAAGTGCAGAGGCAATTCAGTGTAGAAAGGATAGTCTTTTCAACAAATGGTGATGGAACAATTAAATACCTATATACAAACACATAAATGTAGAGCTTTTCCTAATATCATAAACAGAAGTGAACTCAAAATGGATCATGGACCTAAGTGAAAGATCTAAAACTATACACCTTCTAGAAGAAAATATAGAAAATTTTTGTGACCTCGTGACCTCTTTTTTACTCAAAGATTTCTTAGATGTTACACTAAAATAGCACTATCTATAAAAGAACAAATTAATGAATTAGATGCCACCAAAATTAAAAACACTTGTTCTTTGAAGACACTATTAAGAAATCAAAAGACAGGCTCAGGCTGGGAGAAAATATTTGAAATCCTACATCTGAGAAAGGACTTTTATCCAGAATATTTAGAGAATTTCTACAACTCAATATAAAGTAGGAAAACAACCGAGTTTAAAAATGGGCAACAGTTCTGAGTAGATATTTCACCAAAGAACAGGTGCAAGAGGCCAATAAGCAAATGAAAAGATGCTTGACTTCAATATTCATCAGGAAATGCAAATTAAAAGCATAATGAGATATACTACTCCACACTATCAAGTATAATCAAAAAGATAGACAATACCAACTGTTGATGAGGATGTGGAGAAACTGAAACCTCATACATTGTTAGTGGAATTGTAAAATGGCAAATCCACTTCGGTAAATAGTTTGTAGTTTCTTTTAAAAATTAAGCATACACCTACCACTCTAACAATTCACTACTAGGTATCCATCCAAGAGGAATGAAAACATATGTTCACAAAAGACTTATATGAGAATGTTCCTAGTAGCACTATTCATAATAGCCACAAACTAAGAGCAATCCACATATCCACCAACTGAAAAATAAACAGTGTAGTGTATCTGTACAATGGAATACTATTCAGCAATAAAAAGTGAATGAACTGCTTATACGTGCCGTGACATGAGTGAACCTCCAAACCTAAAGCTAAGTCAAAGAAGCCAGACACACAAAACACATGTTGTATGATTCCACTCATATGAAATTTCCAGAAACGTCATGTCTATAAAGGAAATAAAACAGATCATTGGTGGCTGGGGCTTGAGATGGGAATGGGGACTGACTGCCAATAGGTAGGAATGAACATTTTGGTGTGACAGTTGTCTAACTCCAAATTTACTAAAATATCATGGAATTTTAGACTTAAAATTAGTGTACTCTATAGTGTGTTAACTATAAAGCTCAATAAAGCTGTTAAAACTACACAATAATCATGATTGCTACATATGCCTGGAAAAAGACTGGAAAAAAATACACGAACGTATCAAAAATGGTTGTATTGGAGATTCTATTATGAGTGAATTTTTTCTGTTTCCTATATTTTCAGTAACCTGTTTGTATTACATTTTTAATAGGAAATATTAAAATTTAAGCAACAGTGAATTCAGGACTATTTTATAAAACCACAAATAGTGGCAAGTTTTGGAGGTAAAGGTTGAGATGGGAGAAAGTTCTGGTAGGGAAGGCAGTTTTGTTTCGAAGCTTCTTTCTAGGGCCCAGAGCCATCCAGAAGTCAGGAAATCAAAAACCTTCAAGTCGTTTTAACTTCTCCTTCCTCCTTCCTTGTTAAGACTTCATCACTGAGCCTTGACAATTCTTCCTTTAGAGGGGTGGTGCTTCTGTTTCTTTGCCCATTCTGGTCCACTCAGTCCTTGGACTATTGCAGAGCGTTCAAGTGGGTCTGCCTACCTCAGTCAGCTTCCCCTTAGTTCACCCGGAATATTCTAAACACATTGTTTTATGAATGGAGAAAAGCCCCACTAGTTATTATGCCACACTGTAAAATCTCAATAATTAGAACAGCGTGGTGGTTCTGGAACATGAGTAAATAGACCAATGGATTAGAATAGAAAGTCCAGAAATAGCCTGAGTACATATATGAATTTACAGGTAATTTACATACATCTCACAATGATGGGGGTGGGGCTGACTTTTTACGAAATGGTATAATACCACTGGGTAGGCATCTGAAAAAAGATAAAGTTGGATCCTTCTTCATACCCTTCACCAGTGTAAACTCCAACTTAAAGATTCAAATGTAAAAAGTGAAACTTTATTACTAGAAGAAATCATGGGGGAATGTTTTATTCTCATAAAGTGGAGAATATCTTTCTATATATGACTCAAAATGCCAAAGCAATAAAAAATGATAAATTCAACAAAAAAAACACTTTTGCATGGTGAAACCTAAAGTATGCAAATGACAAACTAGGAAAAATATTTGCAACTAATAATTCAGACAAAGGGTTTATCTCCTTCGTATATAAAGAGCTGAAAGAAGTCAATAAACCAAAAGGTAAGCAACACAATAGAAAAATGAGAAATGACCATGAATAGTCAGTCCACAGACAAGGAAATGCAAATATCCCTTAAGGTGAAAAAATATGCTCCCTCAGTCATAATAAAGAGGAAGATATTTTGAGACTACACTGAAACATCATTTTTTTCACATATCAATTTGATAAAAATTCAAAAGTTTGACTACGCGCTTTATTTTCTGGCATCTGGAGAAATAGGCACTCTCATCCGTAAATTGTTCATGGGAGTGTTAAAGTGGTTTGACTCCCATGGAGGGCAATTTGGCAATAGTTTTCAAAACCACAAATGGATTTACCCTGTGGATACACCTGAGTGTATCAAAATGACATATACACAAGGTCATTCACTGCAGAATGATCTGCAGTAGTGAAAGATTGGACACAGCCCAAGTGTCCATCACTAGGGGGTTGGTAAAATAAACCATGGTATATCCACATATGGAATACTCTACTGCTATAAAAAGAGATTGAGAGTTTCTCTATGTTTTGATACAGAAAAAATCTCTGGATATATTATAAAGCGAAAAGAAGGTAAAGTGAAAACAGCATATTTAGTATGCTACCTTTTGAGTACAAAAGTCAGTGGAATAAAAATATACATTTATTTGTGTTCATATCTGCACGAAATAGTGGAAGGATACACAAGAAATTAATCTCAGCGGTTACCTGTAGGGGTTATAGAATGGAGTGGTCAGGACAAGGGGAGAACGAGACATGTTATTGTGTATCTTTATTTAGAATTTTGATTTTTGATCTATATAAAATATTACTATTCAAAACAAAAAATAAGACTATTTTAAGATAATTTCACCATTAGTGGATGTTAAAACACACACACACAATTGCTTTGAAATGTCATTCCCATAGTCCACAGGATCAAGAACAAACTCCTGAGCCTGCACTCAAGAGTCTCAATTTCCCAGCTTTGTCTCACCCCTCAGCTCAAACCAGGCCTCAGGTTCAGCCAAATCAGGTGGGTCCTGAGTCCCTGAGAACACCACACCCTCTGGGACCTGAGTCTTTGTTCTTCCCACCTCGCTGCATGGAATGCCCACCTCTTTCCGCTTAATCAATAATGTCCAAGGCCCTCCCCCTGCTTCCCCTGTGAAACTTTAACACTAAGAATGCAATAATGATGATGATGATGGCCACTGATGACTGGGTACCGACGGCACCAGGCACTGCAGTGGGAGCTTTATTACATCTCATGTAATCTTCCCACCAAGCATGTGAAGGCAGAATTGCTATTTTCTGTTTTACACACAGGAAACTGAGGCCAGAGACTGTGCAGCAATGTGACCCAAACCTTGATGTCTGGGGTCCCACAGGCCTGGGCTGGACTCCCAACTCAGCTCCTTCCTGGCTCTGTGATTTTGGAAGGCTGCCTCATCCACAGAAGTTTTCATTTAATCACCAGGAAAACGGAAATAATAAAAATGCCTCCTTCATGGAGTTGCTAAGGATAAAATGAGAGACTGGGAAGAAAATACTTGGCATACTGCTTGGTACACGCAAGTCTTCAGTTATGGCCAGTCACAAAGTCCCTGTAGTTCCAGATTCTATCCACCGCCCCGTGTGGAAGTCTCCCCTCCTTGAAGTGTGAAGCCCTAACCACCCAAGCCCTTGGTTTATACCAACACCACCATGCCAGCTAACGCCACATGATCTTTACCTACCTCCGTTTGTCCTCGTCTCATCAGTTAGATCATAAGGGCTTCAGGACCAGGACTAGCCCCTGGGTTTGTCTATATATTCCCTGATTGAACCCAGCACTTAGGAAATGCTCAATAAAAGTTTATTGATTAATTAAGTCTGACATGAAAGAGTAGGAAAGGAAAAGAAAAAAGGTAGGAGAAGAAAACAAATACAGCTAGAGACATCTAAAGACTAATTTAGTTATAGAAAATGTCCATACCAGGCTTGGGTTGGGCAGGAAGTGAGAGGGGGTGAACTCCCATGAGGTGGACAGGGAGTGAAATGGCAAGGACAGGAATGGGAAGAGAGTGTTTTGAAAGAAGTGCAATGCCTTGAGGTAAACATTTATATTTAGAGGGACTGCTCTTGAGCAGTGTTGAGTTTCCCTTCTTCTTAAATTCAATAAGATAGGGATGACTGACGTGAGATTAACAAGCCACTGTAATTCTCAAATGCCTTCACCAATGAAGCTTTATTGTTTGGAGATGAGGGTGGTGGTTGGAGCGGCTTTTCACTGATCACAGCTGCACACGTGCCCTGATGCGGGGAAGGCAGTGTGCCGCCAGGAGCATTAGTAGACGTGGGCCACGCAAAGGCCAAGAAGCAATCCCCAGCTCTGTCCTCCACACTGGGCTTGTCCTAACTGGGAGCTGGCATCTCAGTTTTGATCCATGGACTTTTAAAAAAGAGAGAGAGATGGGAGAAAGTCCAGCAAAATAGGTGAGGAGCGAAATGCTTTCCCCTTCTTCCACGTTCACCCTCTGAAAATCTCATCCATCTTTCAAGGTTTGCTGTGATGAATCCTCCTGGATGTCAGAGCTCACCTGATCATCCTCCATGTTCTTACAGCACTGGTTTCTACTTGGTGACAGGATTTGCCCCAAGCTGTTCTGTAGGAGGGGGATGAGAGAGAAATACTTCATTCACCCCAGTCTGTGGACTCCTTAAGATGACTTGAAAGGATACAGGAGGCCAGATTAGATGTCCCAATGGCACCTGGACTCTCCACATCTTATCAGAAGTCACGTAGGGTTCACTTGTGCATTTTAGACCCATCTCCCCCAACCAGACCCTTGAAAGCAGAGACGGACTGACTTGTTTTCAAAATAGGCACGAAGTGAGTACCAACTGATGGTAGAATGAGTGGACATAACTTCACAATGCTCTTGACTGATTTAGAGGTCAGCAGAGATGATTCTTCTCGGGGTCATGGCCTTGTCCTTCAAACTCAGGAGCAAGTCCCTGGCTGCAGGACCTCACATGTTCTCCTCAAACTTGGTTTGATTTCATTCATCTCCCAGGCCGGATCCATGAGGATCTTCAAGAAAGGCTCTCAAATTTGGCGGCACATTGGAATCTCCTGGGAGAGCTTTTAAAAAACCTGAATCAGGTCACATTTTAGACAAATTAAGTCAGAATGTCTGGGATGAGAGCCTGGCATCAGTGATTTTTGTTTTTTTTGGTGAGGAAGATTGTCCCTGAGCTAACACCTGTGCCAATCTTCCTTTATTTTGTATGTGGGCCACCACCACAGCGTGGCTTGGTGAGCAGTGTGTCAGTCTGTGCCTGGGATGTGAACCCATGAACTCTGGGCTACCAAAGGGGAGTGTGCAAACTTAACCACTACTTCACTGGGCCACTCCTGGCATCAGTGATTTTTAAAGATCCCCAGGTGATCTCCAATGGGCAGCCGAATCTTGGAACCACTTGCTTGGGAACTGCATTTTCATTACAGAAATTGAATGTCTCAATAAACCAGAAAATTAAACTAACAAGGACACCCATATCTCTGACACAACATAAATGGAGGTACCACTGTAGGACATTTATCAAAGAGTAAAGGATCTGGTCTGATGGCCAGGATTTTTCCAGATGCTGCTAACATTTGCTGATCACCTTGAGAAGTAGGTTCTGTTACATGCCTCCTCCTCAGCACAGTTGCTCCCTCTCTCCTCTGTGCGTTTTTTCAGGGTTTAATTATTTGTTGCCATGTTTTTCTCCTCACTGGACTGTGACTAACTTAAGAGCAGGAACCCTGTCTTCACAAGCACACTAAGTGTCTGACCCACAGTGGATGAGTGACACATGCTTGTGACATAAATGTGTCCATAAATTCATTCATTGACTCATTCTTTCATTTATGCAGCATGCACGCATTTAACAAATGATGATAATGACAGACAGAAAAGTATAGCGTTGGCAGAGAAGAGGACCTAATTAGGAAGAGAGGAAAGAGAATAGGCCCCGTGAGGAGATGGAATAAAAAGTAGTGGCGTAAAAAGTGAAGAAGAAAAGAGAAGCGAGAAGAGCGTTGTGTAATGCAGGGGTACGGAAGTCAAGCTGGAAAAGTTGTAAGTTTTTTAATCAAATGGACTCAAAAGTTAGTCAACATCTGTCAGCACTCTGTACTCTTTCTCCTTTTCAGGGTGTTAATCACAATTAAAGTCAATTCATTACTGTGGTATTATTTGCACATCTCTTTTCTCCTCCAGGCAGTTAGCTCTGGGAAGGCAGATCGTACCTGTGGCACTCGCCTCTGTGTCTCCAGTGTCTAGCAGTAGACACACAGTGATGCTCAGTAAATTACCAAGTGACTCAATGGATTGCTCACGGTTTCCGTTCCCTCTTCTATTAAAAAATAATATCCTTATCTCAGGGTTGTAATGAGCAATAATTTAGGTAATATATATAAGCACCTGGTGTGTGGTAGGCATCCAAAAATGGTGAATCATTATTATTATTAAGAAAAACAACAGATACTAAGTGCCTACTGTGTGCCAGGCCCTGTGCCAAGTGCTGGGCAAAAACAGACAACTGAGATTGCAAAGAAATTGCACCTTTTAGAGAGAGTAAGGACTTGAGGACCCCAGTGTCACCACCTTCCCCTGCTCACCCCCCAAAGAGCCTCAGCCAACTCCATCATCCTCCAACACCTTCTTGGCTACACATCGGGCCAGTCTGGGAACCACTAAGATTGGTCTTCTACTTCACCACCACCAGATGGCAGCACAAAGCCCTCAGATTGCTGGCTCCAGGGATGGTGGAGGACGCTTCGATGCTCTGTGCAGGGTCTCTGAAGCACAGATGGAGGGGACCCCAACCCCTGCCCCTCTGGCCTTGCTATGCTGTTTGGAACTTACAATTAATGCTTTGGGATTGTCCCCTTCTTTTCCATTGCCAACTCCTAGATTCCAGCCCCTCACCCTGGGGTCACCTCACACCTGCAGGGACCTTGTTCAGAATCCTTCCCAAAGCACTTTCCTTTCACCTCCATTCCCTTACAGATCCCCATTTGGCTTTTTGTGAAGGCCCAGAATCCCCTATCTGGCCCTTAACATACTTCCCCATCACAGCTCACCTCCTTATGACTTGTTGTACCACACCATGGCCCAGGATTCATCTCCCATTCTGTCTTTGCTCACATCATCCCTTCTCTGATAATACCCGCACATCCATGCTCATATTTTCTGCCCCTCATTTCCTCTCACCCCCTTGAAAGTCCAGCTGGAAGCTCACCTCTAGGAAGTCTTCCAGACTGCCCCTGGATGTCGACTCACTCTTCTGTGTGCTCCATCAGTACTTCCTTTCTTGGTAAGTGCTCTCTGGGTTTCAGGTTTGGGTTGGCCTGCTTGCACAATGCTTGGTCAGCAATCTTCAGGTGTTTCCTGTTGCTCCAGCAAGGGAGGGTAAGCATAGATATTTCTCTTAAGAGAAAAACAAGTCCTTTTTTTGCTCCCTTCTCCTATGCCCTACATTTATCAAGCCCTTAATAGTAACTGATGGGCTTGAGGAAGAAAGAAGGAGGTCTGTGAGTGATGTGTGGGAATGAAGGGAGAAGGGTCCCTGGAGAGAAGCTTCAGGTGAAATAATCAAGATCCCCCAGACCCCAAAGACTCCTTGGTGAACAAGACAGGAAGAAGAACACTGTAAAAGCCAAAAGTCCCAGAGAAATTGGATTTTTATTCTTCTTGGAAATCCAGTGCCTTCTGAAGTTTACTGAGAAATCTCAATCTCTTCATTCATTCATTCATTCATTCATTCATTTCTAACAATGCATTGAGCACTGACTGGCCTGTAGGTACTGGGAACACACAGGTAAGACTCGGTACCAGTCCTCAAGGCCCCCAAAGCCTAGTGGGGAGACAGGCCAGCGAACAGCCAATTCCTGAAGAGCAGGAGAAGTGCCATGAGAGAGGAAAGCACAGGGTGCTGTGGGAGCACAGAGGGAGGGGATGGGGAGGCCATGGGAGACTTCCAGAATTGGTGACTAGGAGCTGAGCACTGAAGGACCAGTAGGAGTTAGTTAGTCATGCGAAAAGTTAGGAAGAGGAATCAACACTGGTGAAAGCATGAAGGAGACAACAGGGAAGCCTGGCCAAGGGGACTATAAGTCATTCATCATGACCGGAGCATAATGTACAAGAAATGAAAGAGAGGCACATGGAGAGGGGAGCAGGAACCAGACCTCCTGCAGGCTGTCTGGAAGGCTCTGCTCAGGCTCTTTGGACCTTGCTTTGGAGGTGGGGAGGCTTAAAGGATGTTAAGCAGAAGGGTGACATGATTGGATCTGTCTGCTGAGGAAGGTCACTCTGGCTGTGGGGGGCGTGAATCGAGGGAGCAGTGCAGGAGGGGAGACCAGATGGGGAGCTGTTGCAGGCAGAGACAGTCTGCGTATGAACTGGCAAGGGACATGGCAGAAGTGGAGTCATGTAGTGACTCAGTGACCTTCGTAGACCTTGTAGAGTCTAAGGTGTCCTTGGATACCAGAGTGGGGGTGCAGTGGGATTCAGATGTTCCTGGCTGGAGCTCAGGAGGTAGGCCTGGACTGGGTCCCCAGGGACATCTGGAATCTGTACAGATGAGACGTGGATGAAATTACACTGGGGGCAGGGGAGCACGTAGAGGAGATGAGAGGGGAGCAGGAACATTTAACGACCTAGAAGAGAAGGAGGAGCCAAGAAGGGAAGGGAGAAGGTGCAGCCAGAGATACAGAAGGAAAATCAGGGGAGAGTGATGCCTCAGATGGGGGTGAGCTCAGCAGTGTCAAAAGTGCTGAGGTCAGGCAAAGGGAGAGCCATCATAGCATTCAGAGTCAGCAGCACAGAGGCTGCAGTTCCGGTGAAGTACTGTTGGGCAGAGGCCGAGTCCATGGGCTGAGTGAGTGGGAAATGAGGAGTGGGAGGAGGACTTAGAAGCACCCTTTGCAGAAATGTGAATATAAAGGAAATAGCAAAAATAGGTGGTAGTAGAAGGCAATGTTAGATTCAACAAGTGTCTTGTCTGAGGTTTTTGTTTGTTTTTAGACGGAAGAAATTTATGGTGGGAAATGGGTACAGAATGAGTAGTTGAAGATGCAGGAAAAGTAAGGGGAGAGAATTCCTGGAGGGAGAACACGAGAGGGAGATTCAGAGCACAGGTGGAGGTAGTGAGAGCAGATAAGACCTGGACACTTCTTTGATGAGAGAGGAAGAGGCAAGCCTGGGCTGGGATTGGCTTTGGCTGAGAGGGAGAGCTGGATGAAGTGAGGGGCTCTGGAGCCTGGAACAGAAGGACGTTCACCATGGCAGACTGAGCTCTGTCCAGAGCCCTGTGGCAGAACTTCCAGTCTTCATGGCTCGTGAACTTCTCTATCAGGACCCGACAGTCTGGGAAAAGAAGTATGAGGCTGCGATTGTCTCAAGCCAGATCCAGGGTGTGACTTGGCTGGGGAGGGAAAGTGACAGCAGTATGAGGGTCCTTAGAGCTGAACATTTAGCAGGAAAGTACTGAAAGCAATGGCCCAGGGCTCTGGGTTACCTATTGACAGGCGTGAAGACAGGAGGAGGCTGATAGGTTGGGAGAAAACAGAGTGATCAAGGGTGGAGGGTGTCAATAAGGTGGCGGCGACCAGGTGTAGAGGGATTTGGGGAGTGAAAGCTTGAAGGCTGGGATGAAAGTGGGATGTTTGAGTTTAAAATTCCCAAAGAGTAGCAGGTCTCACCAAAGTCCAGGATGTGGCCCTGGGTGGGGTGCCCAAGTGGAGTCAAGGTGTGGGATCCTGGAGTGGAAGAGGTCAGAGGTGTTGGATGAACCGTGAACAGAGCCTGGATGTCAGGGTGATGTCTGGACTTCAGGGGAAACCTGTGAGCCATGGGCCAAAGCTATCAATGAGTGGGAAGGGACCGGGTTATTGACAGTCAGCCAAATGAGAAGGGAAGCTGCTGCTCCAGCCAGGTCCCAGGAGACTCATAAGAGCAGGGGTTTTACAGGAGGGCAGGAGGTAGTGGCTCTGGGGACCTGCCTTTGACAGGGCTGCAGACTGTGTCGTCAGGCGGGGGAGAGTGAGGTTTCATTCAGGTGAGGAGTGCAGGCAGCAACACCAGGCAGGTGAGGGTCCAGGTGCAGGGGGGGTGTTTAGGAGAGCAGAGAGAAGCGAGAGGGAGACAGGACACCCCGAGCAGTGTCGGGCTGAGAGGAGGGTGAGCAGAACCTGGTTGCAGGGGGGAGGCCCTGGGGTGCTGCCTTGCCTCCAGGGCCTCTACCCCCTCCTCTATCTTCTCCTCTTCTTTCTCTTTGTGGTCCACTCCCACAGTGAAAACAAAGCCTTTGTCTGTGGTATTTGAGCTGTGTCCTCATCATGGCCACTGTGGCTAAGAACAGTGGGAGAAATGCTGAGCCAGTGCTGGGGGCGGCCAGGAGAGAGCCTTACAGAGCACCATGTGACTTTGGGAAATGCAGGAGATGTTCTATGGGCCTCAGTTTCCTCCTCTGGGCAATGAAAGGTTGAACAGAGCAGTGGGTTTTCAACCACATCAGGTGGAGCCCCAGTGACTCAGTGGAAGAGGCTAAGGGACCCCCGGTGGGCGAGGATTGTGGGATTCTGAGTGGGGAAGATTCCTGCCTCCACCTTGCTTTCCACCTTAGCAGCTACCCTTGGACCTGTCTGCCTGCTGAGGTTTTGCGTGAGATTTTGTTTGGAACAAGGATTCAGCTGTCTAAAACAATGTTGAAAGTCGTGTTCTTGCCTAGGCCTGATAGTGCATGAGCCTGTTGCCACTGTGTGCTGTAGAGTGTGTCCTTGGTGGTGTGTCTGTACCTGCAGGCCCTGTCAATGTGAATGTCTAAGCACTTGGTGGGCACACGGGCAGCTCCAGGACCTCTCTCTGCGGCACTCAGTGAAAAGCTGCTGCTCTTCGGCGCTGGTTGAGATGTCCTCTCAGAAATCTGCTTTTACTAAAGTGGTTTTGATGGGCGAGTGGTTGGGTGCTCCACAGTAACATTGATGATGAATTACATCCTGAGTCTGGCAAGTGGGACAGACAGGACCTATAGCCAAGGACAGAGCCCAGACCTGTTCTTTGTCACCCAGCACCAGCTGGAACCCCTCGCCGCCGGGCTGGCAGCTGTGATGGGTCATTTGGCCAACAGAAAACCTTCCCAGCTAGGACTTTTCTGAGAATCTGTGCCAGAAAAACTACATCTGTGAGTCACCTCTGAGGGAAAAACCCAGCTGCTCTGTTCTGCCCCAGGCCCAGGGGCCAGGGGGAAGGGCCATGAGGCATAGCAAGAGCAGAAGAGAGGCCACTTTACTCTTCTCGGTTTCCACAGGAACTTACCAGATTTGCATTTCCCCATTTCATAAGGAAAGTTGGGAGGTGGGACTGGAGCCAAAGAGGCCCCCACTCTGCTGCAGATGGTGGAGCCCACAGCTGTCGAGAGTGGAGGCTGGGGCTGAGCCGTCGGTTACTCCTCTGGCACCCTGGGTTCCCAACTTTGACTTACCCTCTTTGCTTCTGACCCACGGGTGGCTACATCCAGGCTTCTAGGCTGCACATGGAATATTCTGGTCAGTGAGTATCAGGAAGAGGGGGTGAATCTTTGAGTAGGTGTAATGATCATGAAAAAATCCCCCCAATATTGGGAGAGGGGCACTGAGGAGGAGGGTGAGGTTTATTTCACATTGCAGCAAGATGGATTCTTGGTGCCATGGGCTGTCTTCTCTGAAGGAAGGGTCAGCCAGGTGTAGGCCTGACAACCATGGGTGTTAGAGGGCTAACCCTGGAGTGGTGCAAGGACGGGGGTGATTGTTCAGGACCATGGTAGTGAAGGGCTGGTGGCTGGGGATGTCACTCCCTACGACAGTGACAACCAACATGGAGACTGAGAAGCCCCCCACTGGGGAGAAGAGCCGGGATCTCTTCACTTACCTGAGGCAGATCCTCAGCTGCCAAAGAAACCAAGTGACTTGGGGTTCTATTCTTGGAAGAGTCTTGGTGGGTCAGGGAGCCTGCCTTGCTCTGCATGGCACAGGCTAGACGTGGAGGGTGGGGCTCAGTTCCAAGCAGTGGATTTAGGGAGTCATATGAGCAGGTGGGAGTGTGTTGAGCATGCCTGGAGTAGCGAGGCCAGCATAGCAAATGTCCTGCAAACTGACCAAGCGGGGAATGCTTGAAGGGTTTGGGGATGTTTAGTCTAGAGAAGAGGACAGGAGAATAATGTTTTGGAATCCCTTTTGTTCCAGATGGTAGAACAGAGGCCAGTAGATAGAAATAACAGGAAGAAAAATTCTGATTCCCCAGAAATAGCTCAATCTGATCATTTCAAGACAGTAAATCCCAGTGGTTGAGACTCTGGGCTCTGGAGAAGAGTTACAATGGGCACAGTCATGAACCTGCTCATAAGTGTGGTCATGAGACCCACTCAGTGTTGGCCTGCACCATGATTTTTAAAAAATGCATCAGTAACCAATACAAATTGGGAGATTATACTTAAAAATCTACATTTATAACCTCTCTTGAAAAATTTGAAGGTCTGATCACTCAGGTTTGTATTTTCTCATGGAATAAATAAATGGGACCTGGGTGGCAGCCATCTCCTCTGAATAAGGAAATTACACCCCAGTTCATCATAGGCACCATCTCCTTCCACCTTTCTTACACTTGTGTGGTTTCACTGAGCCTCCTGGCCCCTGTAGGGACTGTAGTTTACAACCCTGTTCTAACTAGGAGCCCAGGGTTTGAACCCTGGCTTTGCCACATTTAAGCTATTGTAATCTTAGACAAGTGAGTCGACCTCCCTAAGCCACAGTTTCTTTATCGAAATATGCGAATCATGAATATGATATGAGACTACCTGGTGGAGTTAGAGAACTCATGCAAAGTGGCTAGCACAGAGTGCAGCACAGGATGAGAGCTCACAGACTCCTAGCTGCTGGGAGCTGTCCAGCAGTGGAGGGGACAGTCACACAAAACATTGTGGGCTCCATCACCAACACTGGGCCTGCAGAGGCTACATGTCCTGGCAGAAACGAGGGACTGCAGAGGAGGAATAGCCATCTAGAATCTCTGAAATAAATGAGCCATGCATCAGTCCTACTTGAACCCTTCCCAGTGACCAAGTCAAAGGTGTTGGTTTAAGGCTACCTTGATGCCCATTAAAATCAGATTTAATCTGGAAGGAAATTTGAGGAGTAGGAAAGAATGTGTCACCTAGAGTAACTCACTTGGGAGGCTGTTGCATGCTGAGAGTGAGGTGGGGGTTCCAGCCCCAGCTGAGTGGGAGGTGGGAACACGCCCCTGCCACTTCCTTTTCTGCTGTAGGGTTTCTTTGTGTTTACTAGCAGCATTTCCTCCCTTGGCAGCTGGCCTATACTCATCAGTCAGCGCTGCAGGCTGAGCAGCCCCCAGGGAAGCCAAACCCATCCCCATCGCTTGGCTTGGCTCAGTGATAGAGTGTTTAGTACCTGCCTGGGTCCTGGCTCTTCCCCTGGGTAGGGCCTGGGGGTATGGGTGCCCTTCAGGTGGTCTGGAGTCAGCCTGATAAGAGA